GGAACCAAAAGTCAGAACGAAGAAGCCTTTGCGTTCGGTATGCGCGTCGATCAATCCCAGCATGGATGACATGTAAACGACGCCGTACAGCAGGAGTTCGATGATCAAGCCGTTGGAGAGCCAGGGTCGAATGTTACGGCTTGGTAGGTCTTGGGGCGCTGAACGCTCGAACTTGTCAACCCAAGCCAACATGTCAGCAGATGCCCATCCGAAGAGGGCAAATGCGACAAAAACAAGCCTCGGTTGAACCGGTTGCCCAAGAAAGAAAAGTGTCTCTGAGAGATTCTCAGAGAACTAGAAATCGAGAAATTCAGTTTGGAATTCAATGTGCAGAAGAGACACATCCATTTGAGCAATCCTGAAGTTGAAGCAGCTGCTGCCCAAGAGAAGATGACATAGATGTTGGTGACGATCAAGGGACGTGATACTTCATGCAAAGGCCGACCCAAACTGCAATACCCTGACAAAATGAAGAGGATTGGAACGTTGATCCCCCACTCAAAGTACCTGCAGAGAGTATCTGGCCACGTCAACATAAGGAGTTCAAAGATATTTACGGTCTGTGAATCAAGGCATCCTTGGAAGGTTCTACCGAAAAGGTCCAAAAACGTGGCAATGAAATGCTATGAACATGTTTATATATGTTTATCCTTGGCAGAAATGGGCTCTTACATTCTCTTTTTCATCTTCTTGCATCCTGATTGCTGCATGGTGTAGACAGGACGGCCGGGAGCAGTCAGTCCATCAGCGTTGGGCTGAACATGTGCGATGGTCCAGTCAGCACGAGAGAAGAGTCGTTCAGCACATGCCAGGACACCAAACATCAAGGCCAACAGAAAGCTGGGCCTCAAATCAAATTCCACAATATTCCACAGTTTGGCAATTTCATCTTGAATCCATCGCGGTTGAAGCAATACAAGAAACATGCTAAAAGCATGCTAATGTTGAGAAAACTTGCAGCTGAGGGACAAGCACCTGCTCTTCAGGTGAGGGATCAAAGCCTGTGTTTGTTGAGAGCCCAAGTAAGTTGCGATGAGACCGCACACTTCATGTCCAGCCATGGCGAGCAAAGCAGCCGTGGATACGATGTGGTAGTATCCTCTGCCACACACAACTGTTTCGGCCACCACAAAGGACTTCAACATGTCCAAACATGTCCAAACATGTCCAAACACGTTCAAACTCTTGTGTCCAGATCTTGAAAAGTGAAAATATGGAACACAGTCGTGTCACCTGGGTATGTCTTTAAGTGCTTAGCGCAAGCGGGTGAATCTTGGCATGCTTCAGGGCTCACCAGGGTCCAACAAATTGCCCACGTTGCCAGAGTAGCACCGATCCACACCGGAAGTTGTCCAATCAGAGTCGCCATGACGAGAACTTTCGCGGGTGCGAGAGTTGGAACGCGCAAAACGGCTGCAAAAATGACGTTGCACGACGTGGCATGACGTGGCATGACGTGACGCGATACACTATGATATGATGCAATATGATGTCACTTCGGTTCAACTTCCAGTGATCTCTTTCTTTAGACAACCTGATTCTTTCCATCATTCTGGACTTTTGAATCAAATCTGAGATTCACTGTGATGAAATCTCAAATATGATGAAAATACTGGTCTCATTTCTAGCAGGTTCCAATTTTCTGGAATCATGTTTTTTTTTGCCGAAATGCATCGGCACGGGGTATCCGCCGAAAAGCTGCCAGCTGGGCTCCGGGTGTTGGCACTCAGCTTGAAACAAGGCGCTTCGCCCGGCGGGCTCTGCATGCAACCTTGAGGATTGCCTCCAAATCTAAGGGAAGGTTTCAAATCATTTGAAGTTGTTGAATTTCGAGTGATTCAAATATGTTCAGAGATTTTCGAGTGTCTCAAGGCGCTAAGCACAAAGATGACGCTCTTGCATCGTTGAAAACGCTCCTCACTCCGGCCCGTTCTGTGCGGGTTCAAAGGTTGGGACCTCCCAAGAGATCCAGGTTTCTTTTGGGCTCAAGTAGCGGTGCGCTAGTTGTGCGACGTGATCAAGCCATGTCCGATCATCAATGAAAGATTCATTATGATTCACTATCATTCAATTTCCACCAAGTGTCGCCAAGTATTTGACTGGGACTCTGGCACTTTGATGCATGTCGCAGTTCACTCCCGAAACCGGACCGCTTTAAATCAGCGGCAAGCAACTTGGCTAGAAAGCCGGAACAAAACAAAGATCAACTGAACCTGGTAGGTATCCTGTGGGTCCCTCCCAGACTTGTGTTCAATTGTCCTTTGTCTGAAACCAATGTCTTATCCAGACCTGTTGACAACAAGACAATCTCAAAACATCTCAAAGCCTCTAGTTCTGTGTTTTCTTGACATGAAAAGATTGCATCAACTGGGACTTCACGTCCAATCTTTGTGTCACAGGCTAACTCAAATGGACTTGCGCAAAGCAATGATCGTACTGGTGAGAGCCAGTGCCATTGATGCTGCCATGGCAGGTTGCTCCTGGTGCAATTTTATGGAGGAAGAACACATTGCCTTTCTTTGTGACCGTTGGGAACCAATGTGCAGAAAACAGCTGCTGAGTACTGCACGAACAGTTTAGCAGCAACAGAATGTGGTACAAGCTGGTCCTCAATCCAGTGGACGACGCTCTTGCTCTGCTTCGTCGGTGTGATATGCTCCTTTCAAGGGGAAAGGGGATTCATGTCGTTGCCATGCAAAGGTGAGAGTTTCTGTATGTACAATATTTTGCATTTCTGTGCCAAAGAATTTTTGGACTTTACTATCTAAACAAGATCATCTGGCGATATGCATCTGATCTGCATCGGGCAACTTGAAACATCTTTTACAGCCCACTCGAAAGCAGAAACGCTCAGATTCCCCCTGATTTTGTCCCGGAAACGTAAGATGCTTTGACGTCCAAACAAACAGCCCTGAAGACCTTCTCATTGAACAATGGAGATGTGATAAGCTGATCCTGCACATCAACAGGATCGACCGATGAGTCAGCACTGGTACTGCTACCAGCATCATCGTCGTCATGATTGAAAACTGAAAACGTGTTGAAAACAAACATAAAAGGAGGTGTTGCTTTTGCCGATTGGTCCCAACGAAAGTCAGCACAGCCTGTCTTTCACTGCATTCAATGGAAAGAAGAGTGTGTCTTGGAGAATCAACTCTGCCAAGAGTCCTTCACGCTCTCAGTTGTGTTACGGCTGAATTCAGGGTCAGGCTCAAAAGACCTCAAGATGGTAGAAAGATTCAGAAAAATGGAGACAACATGAGAAAATTAACTTCAGAAGCATTGACAGTTGGGACCACACATTGCTGATCAGGTGGCAGAGTTGGAGTCAGAACATGTTACCAGAATCAGCATTCTCTGCCAAGAGACATTTGCGAGGTCTTTGAAGGATGGCGTGGCATCGTAGGTGCTGGCATCTTCTCAATCTTGTCCATGATGCACAATCCCGGACCGTCAAAGTTCGTGGCCCGATGCATACGATTGTCGGCCGGGCCGCACAAATGCAAAGAACCGTTCTGGAACTTGAAAATGTAAGGAATCGCTGGTGGAGGGCCTTGATTCCAGACAGGGAACAATTCCTTTCAAAAACTGAACTCTCAAGAAACGGCCTCTTCAGAAATGCAGCATCTAGAAATCCTCCCTAAACCTACAAACATTGCACTCAATTCTGGACCCAGTAGCAACTGGTTCCCTTGGGCAGGACTTCAATGTCAAGCTGGCAAGGCTCGACTGAGCAGTTCATACGGAATCGAGCTTCCATAGTTTGGCCCATCACTGTGACGTTTGCATGGATGCAATCCTTAGTGGAGAAATCCTCTACCAAAACCGTCAATCCACTTGCAGGAAATGGGTGAACAGTAGATGCCAATTAGATGAACATTAGATTCAGAATGATTAGTGAATGATTCATACTTGATGAACATAGATGAACATCGATAGGATAGGCCCGATCAAGGCGCAAAGGACACCACGGACCTGCAACGGACCCCGAACGGACCCACAGACTCACAGACCCGCGGGCCCCGCACGGACCCAACGCAGGACCTGAATGGATCGATTTGCCTCAACTGCCAGGCAGCTTTTAAGAGACCTCGTCCTTCTTCGTTTCTTCGTCTCTCCTCCTCTGTTGCTGCACTCACTGCCATATCGCCAGCTCCGGATGCTCAGATAGAATGTCAGTATATATGCCATATATACTTCCAGATGGTGTGCCAGAAACTACATGTCAGAATAGTGTGTCAGGGTGGGGATCACTCGAGGGAAGTAATTTAACTGTATACGTATATGTATATATATATATTATACATATAAACACATCCTATGTACACACCTCCAGCTACTACTGTGTATATTCTATGATGGCCATTACATGCACATATATCTTTGCATACAACTATACACATATCTACTACTACTTGCAGTAACGAAACACTGCAACAACATACCGCACAAGCTACCGCCAATTACCAGAGGGTACACAAGTTTCCCAACCTCATCAGGGGATAGCCAATTGAGGCCAAACGGACCCATGGACCCCACAGACCCCACAGACCCCACGGACCCCACGGACCCCAAACGGACTCGGGCCGGAAATGGACCATAGCCACATCGATGCACACCAAGAGCTTTCTTGGAGAATCTTTGCCAAGTCTCATTGTGGAATTCGATGCGTTGACGGTAACCTCCCAAGGCCTTGCTGGTATTGCCTTCCCAAACACCGACAACGCGGGCATCGAAAGGCACAGAACCCACTTGCCCCGGGGTCTTCTCGGCTGCGAAAGCGCCCAAGTGCGACATGGTGTCCTGGAACGAGTCTACAAAAATCAAGACATGATAAGTTGAACAATGACACCGTGACCAAGTGTCACCCGACTTGGTCTGAACAGTTGTGTGCCTCGTGCATCGCATTGCAAGAACTTCTTTCATTGCCGAGTGTCATCGGTGACCATGGTTGGTCCCCAGTATTGGCTTGCCTCCTCGCTCTCGTGCACAGAACTTGC